TTTTTTTCTCAGAAGGGGGTTGTGGTGCAGTGAAATTTGAGAACACCTGTTCTAAGCGAATACACTTTCTCAAGTTGTGGGGTTTTTTTTTTGTTTTTTTGTCAAAATTAGCATTTAGTTTGAATATCATATATATCTGTTGAAACTTCATGTCAGATTTCAATATCTGATTTGTCAGATCTGTTAAATGTCTCAACTATATTTTTGGGGTTTTGGCTCAAGCTCTTTGCAGGTTTCAATATTAGATCAAGCAATTCTGAGAGATTTACCTTATGGTCCAAACCACAATACAGATTACTTCCAAAAGCTCTTTGTTTTGTGGAGCATCTACAAAAACACTTAGTCCTGGAAAGCATTAAAGCCCCAATTCAGCCAAGCACTTAAGCACATGCAAACATTAAAGTAAACGGGACATGAGCCCGGGTCTAAGTGTTTTCATGAATTAGGGCCCTAAAGCATCAGATGCTTTTTTAAAAGTTGAAAAAGACCTTTTTTTCTGAAAATTCCTGTTTGTTATAGAGAATGTCAAATATTGTACCAATTACTCTTCACGCAACATGTAGAGCAGCTAAACTTTTTTTCCCCCCTTCTGATAGGTACGGTCTTTCAAACTTGGACGCAACACTTGAGGGAACTCCAGATGACATGTCAGTTGTGGATGCTGCTTCCTTAAGAAGACAGGTATCTAAAATATGCTTCCTGGTGAGATAAAGAAAAAGATTTAGAGCTGAAAATGGGAGAACAGGTTAGATATGTGATTGCACTATAATTTGCAAAGGCAGAATATCTCTCAGACATCACATCTATGGTAATTGGTCATCTCTATTCACTGGCGCACCTAGAATACTCTATTATTCTGGGCATCTCAGTGTCAGAGGGATGTTGGCAAACACAAAGGAATCCAGAGAAGAAAAACAAATATGGTGTATAATGGTCTTGAAGGATTGACTGACTGATTTAGGAAAGAAGACAAGAGTTAAATATAGCATGACTATATAACAGTTAAGAGGAGGGGGATCCAGCTTTCTACAAGATCAATGTGAGTTATTTCCCTAATAAAGGACTTAAAAACTGGAAAATGTTGTCCTCAGTCAATGAACCTCCTAAACACTGAGGTTGTGCCATCTAATCTTTAAGAATAATGCATTGTACATATTTTTTATATATTCTTTAGAGAATCTAGCAGTCTTATACCAGGCATTAAAGCAGACTTTCTGTTTTTAGATAATCAAACTTAATCGCCGTCTACAGCTTCTGGAAGAAGAAAACAAAGAGCGTGCTAAAAGAGAAATGATCATGTACTCAATTACTGTAGCTTTCTGGCTACTCAATAGCTGGCTATGGTTTCGGCGCTAGACACAGCTCTCCAAAAGATTTAATAGCTGGAAATAGAAAGAATTTTCAAAATCTTTTGTCTCTAAATTGTATGCTGTTTTATAATCCATGCACTGAGAACTTCTGCCACAGAAAAAGGCTGTAGAGTTACAGTGTTAAAGGGACATTCTGTTGCTCAGTAATATTTATTTTTATCAGTTTGTACTAACATACTTACAGTATCGTCCCTTTGCATGTCTCAATGTAAATATTGATAGACTCATTTTGGAAAGGAATTTGCTTCTCTGCTATGTAAGGATAGTGACCTGCAGAAATAATCATTGTCTCTCTTGTGGTAGGAAGAGAATGGATTTGGAAAAGAAAAGTATCTGTAAACAAAGTATGTAACACAAGTATGAGGTTTTTTTATTGTTGTTCTCTTGTTAGATGCAGTAATTTTATGGTTAAACATTATTGCCCTAGTTTTCCTTTAGCTAAACTAGTTACAGCTGTGTGCCAGACTTAAAAAAAACAAAAACAAAAAAAACACCTTAGTTCATTAATATGTCCCGTTATTCACATGTACAGATTGAATGAAAGGCATTCTTTGCTAACATGATTCAGCAGATTATCCAGAGGTGTGTGTAATATGTATTTTCATATTTTAGCTTTAATTTTGCAGATGTTTTTCTATAAAAGACATTTTTAAGCAAGTCTGTCAGTGAGTGATCTAAAGATTATGAAATATAAGGTACCAATGTAGTGTATTTAATAAATATGTCAAACCAACGCAGAATTTAATGTAAGTTTTTAAAAGGTTTTCATTACCTTTCTTATCTTGGGAATTCTTAAACACTATTTCATTCAAATGTGCAGGAATCCTGTATTTTCAGACAAAAACTTATTCTTCCTTCAAAATGCTAAATATGCTTCCTATTCACTTCCTCTAGCCAAGCATCATTTCCAGAATCACTGTCCCTCAACTACTTATCCATTTCATTATGTAAAACAAGAGATATTGAGTGTCCTCATAGATATCTCCTCTACCTCTCTCATAGGTAGAAACGGAAGTTTATTGAATTTGCTATTCATAACATCCAATTTGGAAACTTACTGAGATTCAGCATGTTCTTTTTATTTCTTAAATTTTAAATCAATTATATTTAAATTTAAAAGGCAGCCAAAGAATTTTCTAAAAGGCAAAGGAAGAAAATCTGTAGGGGTTGTATTAAAGGCAAAATATTAGCGGTCAGTAACTTTTCGTTGGAAGCAGGTGTCCCATTTTGTGTTGAATGTTATATATTCACTACCACACAGTGATGAGCTGCCAAAATCTTAACTGGTTCCCTATAAAAAATTCTGATTTAAGGGATGTGCCAAGAGGTGGAGGGCATGGGGGTGTAGTGGCAGGGAGGAGATTGCACAGAGGCAAACGGGGCTCGTTGCAGGGGGTGCAGTGGCTGGGAGGGAGTGGCACAAGGGAGAAGTGGGCAGGAGGGGGTTATTGCAAGGAGCTGGCAAGTGGGGGTGTGTATGTGCCCAGGGGGGTGAAGGTGGCAGGGAGGGGTTTGCACAAGAGAGGAGTGGGCAGGAGGGAGATGGCAGGTGGGGGTGGGGGTTGCCGGGTGAAGGTTGCCCAGAGGCAAAAGTGGCAGGACAGGGTGGGTTGTTGGGGCGGGGGACGCACAGGGGAGAAGGTAGATGGTCGGTGGGTGTTGGAGGGGTGGCACTGGCTGGCAGGGGTTGCCTGGGTTGCTCCCACATACACCATTCCCCAGGACAGGGACTGGACCTGCCCACCCCCCCGGCCCTCCGTGGGCCTGTGCGGCTCCCTGCGGCCCGGCTAGGTACCTTGCAGATGGAGTAAACACCCTGCTTCTCCGCTCAAAGAGCAGAGCGCAGCTGTGCCTTCTTCCCCGCACTGTGGGGCCGAGCCAGGCTCCCTGCTGCCCCCGGGGCTCTCAGTGGCGGCGCAGGCAGCCAGCCCACCAGAGCTAGGCTCCCCGGAGCTCTGTGTCGGCAGCAGTAGCCGCCACTGAGAGCCCCGGGAGCGGCGGGGAGCTCGGCTCAGCCCCCGGCGCAGGGAAGAAGGCACAGCTGCTCGTGCTAGACCCTCCCCTTCCCCGCTCTGCCGCCGGCTGCTCCCCTGGGGGAAGGATTGGCCGTGCTGTGGGCGGCCCCTCTGGAGATGGGAGGTGGGGAGCAGCGGCTGCCTTATGCTCCGCTGTTTAAAAAAAATTGGGGGGGGCACTGCTTTTTGGCGCCCCCACCCACTTGGCGCCCTAGGCGGCTGCCTAGTCCACTAGTCCACCTAGTGGTTGCTCCGGCCCTACCCAACAGACCCCCCGGAACTCCCATGCCTACCCAACCCCCCCCGTTCCCTGACTGCCCCCCCAGAACCTCTGTCCCCTCCATCAGCTCCCTGCCCCTTACCCAACCCCTTCTCCCAGCCCCGGTCCAGGCCCCTTACCATGCTGCTCAGGGCACTGTGTATGGATGCCGTGCAGCACGCTGGAGCTTGCAGCCCCACCCCCTTACCATGCCCTTCAAACCATGGCCCCTTACCATGCGGGCAGGAGCTGCAGAGCTGCCCAGGAGTGGTCCAGAGCGCTGGCAGCGCGGCACACTGAGTCCCTGCGAGAGGGGGAAAGGCGGGGGAGGGGTTGGGGGAACCTCCCCCGCCTGGAGCTCAGGGAGCCTTAACAATTTTTAACAACGGGTTCTAAAACTGGTTCAAAATTTAACCACCAGTTTGCACAAACCAGCTCCAGCTCACCACTGCCACCACCCCACTCTCATGCTCACCTTTGGGTTTTGCCCACACTGTGCTACAAGCAATTGCCTAGTGTGTGCGTTTATTTTTAGTTATTTAAACAGCCTGGCCACCCCCACCAGTCTTTATCCTTAAAATACGTATGATCAGCTGAGAGAGGGTGGGATGAGATCGCAGCCCTTCACTGGGTGCACTCTATTTATCTAGGACAGGGGTGAGTGCCTTAGAGCGCCTGAGAAGAGTTAGCTGGGTGCTGTGCCGCTCTTTGCATTAATGCAGCAACTGCAAGACTGCTGGGGGCTGGGAGGAGGCAGCACTGCTGCTTTCTGGCCTGAGCCTGGGTTGCCAATTATGGTTGGATGTATTCTTGGAGGTTTCATCACATGCCATAAGCTGTAATGCCTGGAGGTTCTAGGACAATCCTGGAACGCTGGCAACCTTAAGCCGGGGTCAGAGCAGCGCCCACATGCCCAGGCCGAAGCCCAGGCAGCTGTTAGGCAGGGCAGGGGCGGGTCCCTCCTCTTCCCTGGGCTGTGAGTGACCGTGGGGCACCAAGGTAGGAACGCGGCCAGGGCCGGGGCCGTGCCTGGGGAGTCTAGGCCTGCAAAGCGGGGGAGGGACCGGCATAACCCGAGCCCCTGGCCCTCCTGGAGGCCTGGCCGCATCGCATCTTTCCGATGTCAAACTTACAACTTGCCGCCCCGGGCGCCCTTGCAGGGGAGAGGTGGGCCCAGAGCCCCACAGCTCCCGGTAGGCGTCGGGGGGGGGGGGGGCTGTGGCTGGAGCAGCGCCTGCTGGGAGTTGAAGTCCCCAGAGCCGCCCTGTCTCGGGCGGGTCACGCGCTGGGGCGCGGCCGGAACGTTTCTCCCCGGAACTGAAGGGCCGAGGGCTGTTTCCCGCGGCCGGGCTGCTGGCGAGCTCTCTCCTGTTCCCAGTCCGCGCCGAGCCGCTATGGCGACGGGGCTGCTGCGGGGGCTGTTACTGCGGGCGCCTCGCCGCCTCCTGGCCGCTGCCGGCGGCGCCGGGCGGGGCGCCCTCGGCCTCCAGCAACAGCAGCGCCGGGGCAAAAAGTTCTGGCTCCGCGCCTACCTGGAGCAGCAGCGGCTGCGGGCGCCCGCTACCCGCCGGTAAGAGCCGGGTCCCGGGTTCGGTCTCCCCGGCCCTGCCGCCCCGTGCTGGGGGCCCCGCTCCTTCCCCGCCTCCTTGCCGGTCGCTCCGCTTTTCCTTCCCCCGTCTGCGCTGGTTGCCCCTTCCCGCTTCTGCCCCCAGCTCCCCCTCTCCTGGACCCCGAGTCCGGGCGTAGGTGGAGGAAGGTCATTGGTAGGCCCATGCTAGGCCGTCCCGGGTCTGTGCATCCCTTCACCCCACCCCCCGTACTGGAGCGTTATCACCATCTCTCCTCTTGCTAGACCCCGCGTCCCCCGCGCCCCAGCGGGACCCAGCACAGGGCGCGGAAGCGCCTGGCCCAGACCCACCCTGGTATTTTTCAGAGTAGCAGCCGTGTTAGTCTGTATTCGCAAAAAGAAAAGGAGGACTTGTGGCACCCTAGAGACTAACACATTTATTTGAGCATAAGCTTGCGTGAGCTACAGCTTAGCTATAGCTCACGCAAGCTTATGCTCAAATAAATGTGTTGGTCTCTAGGGTGCCACAAGTCCTCCTTCACATTGTTATTTATTGTCGCTATTACAGTAGCACCCCCTTCCCCCCCGCCCCACAGCTCAGTTTTAGTGCAGACAGGGTGCATGGGGGCCCTCATTCTCCTCCTTCAAAACCCTCCCTCACTGGCTCCTTTTGCATAATGCCAACAAAAAACTTGACCCTATTTAGAGTGCTGGTGTGCTGACACTATGGCCTATGGCAGCGGGGGCCAAATGTACTGACCCTCTGAGCTGTGGATGACAATCTTCAAAAGTTCAAGAGACGGGCCCCGCGCCTACAGAGGCTCGGGGCGTCAGCCACACAGGAGGGGCCTGCCAAGGCTTGGGGCATCAGCCCTGCTCTTGCTGAAGCTCTGAGCCCTGGCAAGTGCACCCCCCAGGTCAGAAGCCCTAAGACCACCACTTCCCCTGCCCCCACCCCCACCCCCCGTGGGGCAGAAGCCCTGAGTCTGTGTGTCCCCACCCTCACCCCAGTCTGGTAGGTGGAGAATGGGGGCTTGTGGGGGGCTCCGTGAGATGCACTATAACTGTAAGAGAGCTGCATGTAGCTCTCAAGATGGGGTTTGGCCTCCCCTGACCTATGCTGCTGAGGCATATGGTCTCATTGTTTCCTTTTATTTCCCTCTCTGTATCCATTCATCATTTCTTATCTTTTACTTAAATTATAAGCTGTCTGGGGCAGTGACTGTCTTTTTGTTCTGTGTTTGTACAGGGCCTAGCGCACAACAGGGTCCTAATCCAGGACTAGGGCTCCTAGGGAGTACAGTAATGCAAACAACAAATAATAATATTTGGGGGCATGTGATCTGGTGGGAGGGGGTGCTGGCAACCCTACATGGCATCTGTCAAAAGGAGAAGAAGGAGGAAGGGCAGGTTAAGGGACAGCGGCCTCATAGGCTATAAGCTGCAGACAACTCCTTCCCTTTGAGATGCTATATTTTGACCCTTGCCTGGATACAAAATTTGTATCCGCATCCAATCCACGATCCACAAAAACTGTCCGGATGCAGATATCCACGGATTTGAAGGGCTCTAGCAATAAGCTGACTTGAAGATGTCTGAAATACTCTGTTTATTTTTACATTTCCTTTTAATAAATGGTTTCATATCTAAGCTGTTTAGTGGAACAGATGACACTCTGTCTGGACGTTCAGTTCTACTCTTGAGTTAATTCTCTCTTGTATGTTTGTAGTTCAGAGAAGCCTAACTGGGATTACCATGCAGAGATACAGGCTTTTAGCCACCGACTACATGAAACCTTTTCCTTGGACCTCCTCAAAACTGCATTTGTTAATTCCTGTTATATTAAAAGTGAGGAGACCAGACGCCAAGAACTTGGGCTAGACAAAGAAGCGGTTGCCCTCAATCTCCAGGATAATCACAAACTTTCTGAACAAGGGGTATCTCTTTCACGCTCTTACCTCACTCACTGTTTTGAAGATGCTTATCCAAAGATGCCCTCTGAAGGGATACGAGCCCTCGTTGATTTTCTCACGAGCCAGGAACTTGTGTCTTATGTGGCCAGAAACCTATCCATACAGGATTTAACGCTTTGTGCAGAGTTTCCTGTTCCACCTAGTGTGCTGCAGAAGACTTTCTTTGCTGTAATAGGAGCATTGTTTGAAAGCAGTGGGCATCAGAAAACAGGGATATTTATCAGAGTAAGTACTAGCAGTTACAGTTATTATTTTTATTTCTTTGGCACCTCTCTAAGGCTGTAGCGATCCCAGTCTCAAATTATAAGACCAAAAATAAATAAATAGTATCTTATCCCTGACTGCTGGCAGAGGCCAGACCCCCTACAAACTTATTTCCCGCATTCAGGTCTAACTGATGTGCATATATGCAAGAGCTAGGAGATATATTCCACTTAGGATGGAACCATCAGTTGCGCACATACAAAACGGGAAATGACTGCCTAAGAAAGAGTACTGCAGAAAGGGATCTGGGGGTCATAGTGGATTAGAAGACAAATATGAGTCAACAGCTTAACACTTGCAAAAAAAAAAAAAAAAAAAAGCAAATGGCATTCTAGGATGTATTAGCAGGAATTTTGTAAGCAAGACATGAGAAGTAATTCTTCTGTTCTACTCCACGCTGATTAAGCCCTCAACTGAAGTATTGTGTCCAGTTCTGGGCACCACATTTCAGGAAAGATGTGGACAAATTGGAGAAAGTCCAGAGAAGAACAACAAAAACAATTAAAGGTCTAGAAAACATGACCTACGAAGGAAGATTGAAAAAACTGTTTGTTTAGTCTGGAGAAGAGAAGACTGAGAGGGGACATAAGTATTCAAGTACATAAAAGGTTGTTACAAGGAGAAAAATTGTTCTCCTTAACCTCTGAGGATAGGAAAAGAAGCAGTGGGCTTAAATTGCAGCAGTTTAGGTTGGACATTGGGAAAATCTTTCTAACTGTCGGGATGGTTAAGTACTGGAATAAATTGCCTACGCAGGGTGTGGAATCTCCATCATTGAAGATTTTTAAAAGCAGAATAGACAAACACCTGTGAGGGATGGTCTAGCTAATACATAGTCCTGCCATGGTGCAGGGGACTGAACTTGATGACCTAGAGAGGTCCCTTCCAGTCCTATGATTCCACTTTACCTAAGTCAACCTCTACTTTTCAAGGAATAGTAACCTATTATTTATTTGAGTAGCACTGTTTACTTTTGGCCTGATTTGTTAGATATTTTATGGCTGAATCAGTGGCTGCAGTATAACTTTTTAAACAGTTATTTGATGGTTAGTACAGTCATGAAACTGTTCCAGAAAAACACTGCAATTTCTTAACATTATGCATAGAAAGTCAGATCAATTCAGAGATTTGTTAAGAGTCTCCCTGGAATCAAACATCAAAAGGTTTCGTATTAAAATATATTGTGAGAGGGAAGTCATTTTAGCAGTTGCTATCCTTCCAGTTTATGCCATTTACTTCTAATTTTGTATCAGAGAAATGTCAGCTAAGAGACATAATATGAAACAACTTAAAACCATGTTACTTCTGCTGTATGACATTCAGATATGTCTGTAGGAAAAAGCAACTATTAATGGAGAACAGCTTCCTTCCTATTTAGACAATTCTGTCTCATTGTTTACGGGATCGCGAATTTCATTCAAAATATCTTGTAATGCAACATTTCTGTATTGGATTTTCTACCACATAACTCTATAGTTAGTTAGTACTTATAAAGCACCAGAGCATTCACTCCCCTTCCTTTCTGTTAATTGTAATGTTTTTGTTCAGGACTTCTTAATTCCTCAACTGATTGGAAAAGACCTTTTTGAGATCTGGGATGTTATAAACCCAATGGGTTTGCTAGTGGAGGAATTGGCCAAGAGGAATATATCTGCTCCAGAACCAAGACTTACCAGGCAGTCAGGAGCCAGTACAGTTCTACCACTGTACTTTGTTGGATTGTACTGGTTAGTAAAACTTTCATCTGAAGTCAAACGGATTCCAGTTTTGGGGGGAGGGAGGAAGGAAATGGTCTGTTTTTTACAAGTTGCCCTTGTTAAAGTTGCCATGTAAAAATAATTTTGGAAGAGAGATGCAATTTATGCAATGGACTTTATATAAATGTTTGAGGATTGACATGTTCATTCCCATACAAATGCATAAAGAGACAGTCCCCCGTCTCAAGGAGTTTATAATCTAGTATCGACACATGCAGTACATTGGGTGCAGGTGCAAATTTTAATAGGGTTCTTGCAGACGTTATTGTTGAACAGCTTTGAAAAAGAATGAAACCATTCCATGCTTCAGTAGCATGGGCAGAGGATGCAAAAGGGAAGTGGGATTGACAAGAGAACCCTCCAAGTACAAGGGTTACTTTAGAGTATTTAAGGCTAAATCATGGCCTCATTTATGTAGCCATGAAGATTGTTTCTCTGCTAATTGAACTGTTTTTGAATAAATCTGTTGCTGAACTGTGTAAAGACAAGACACTTCAAAATGATTGTTTACCAGGAAAAGAGAGAGGGGTATCAAGATGATGCACAAATGATGTACTTGTATATTTTTAAAAAGTTCTAACGGAGATTGGATAGTTCAGGCAATAGGTAATGGAATGTAAATCTGAGTTAACACAGTTGTACTTCAGAAATTCGGTGTAATTCTTACCTGAGTGTCCATCAACAAGTATATACTCATGTACAGTTGCCCAAAAGACCACCATAATCTAAATGTTTTCCTTCCAATAAATATGAAATGCTGGTTAGAGGACTCGTATTATATATTAATGGTGCACAGTGGTGTTCACAGTTTTCTCATGAGGACACTTACTTGATTTTTTTTTTCCCTCCCAGTGATAAGAAGCTTATAGCTGAAGGTCCTGGTGAAACAGTGTTAGCTGCAGAGGAGGAAGCTACCCGTGTGGCACTGCGGAAACTGTATGGATACACTGAGAACAGACAACCGTGGGACTACTCTAAACCAAGAGAGGGATGGAGAGCAGAAAAGGCTATTAGCAGCAGTTAGACAACTAAGCATACTTCTTCTGCCTATCCACAAAAGCCATGTTCTCCATGCTAAGTATAAATGCATTTCAGAAAAGCAAACTTCAGCAATTCAGCTCTTTGATATAAAGGATATGTTTTGAAAATTGCAGCCATCACATATACTTTTAGAATTCTCCAAACTTGAATAGATTGATTTTTCTTTCTGCAAAATGTTTCCTATTATAAAGTAACTGAGGAAAATGAGATATTTCTTGTTAGTAACAAAACAGGGGAGTTTTCCCCACTGAGTTCCCACTATTTGGCTAAGAACTTGACCATATATCCAAGCATACAACTCTTAAGAATGTATTGTAAAATCTGTGACTGATCACTTTTTTATTTTTGAGCAAACTGTCTCCATACAGGAAATAAAACTTTTATGTATAGGTATCTGGACCAGTTTTGAGAGTATTAACAACAAATCAGCACTGAATTAAAAATGTAACATTAGCATGAGACTTGCATCTGATTTCAGTTGGCCTTGAGTTGTGGTAAAATCCATATGAAATATAATATCCACCTCATCAGTATCACCACAGATCGGAATAAAGGATATGCTCTGACATCAGTTGCATACACTGATGCTGTTAAGGCCTTACCAACAGTTTGCTTGCTAATTTGTAATTTACTGTTCATTTGCCATAGACAGTTGCCATTTGTTTCTGGACCCTGAAAGAGCATGTATTCTTCATTAGAAAATATTGTGTTTGGAGTGACAGGGAGGAAAGAGCTTACGTTTCTACATGATATAAAAAAATGTAGAGAGTACCTTCTTTCTTGTTGGCATGGTGATTGCTACTATTAGGTTGACAAAAGATCTTGGTGCTTCGTATTCACTAACTTTTTGTTTTGCCCATCCAGTAGAATTCACCCCTTCTTTTGAACAGCTCAGACTGAACAGGCTTCTAGGCCTGCACGCTATTGGATTATATGAAAATCTATTTGCCTTTGCACACCCCTTTCTAACACTCAAAACATTTGTCTTAAAAAGCTGCTTTAATGAGGATGCTACAATATCATTACATGCTCAATACAATCTGATGGCTTAGCAGTGGGTACTCTTGATCATACAGAAAATAACTTTTTTCCGTTTGACATTCAAAATCTGTTGCGTGCAATTGAATCTCTGAAAGTTTGCATCTGTACATTTCCAATGTGAATAAAAGATTTGCATCTGGAATTCATTTTAGCCTAACTCCTGTCAGGCAGGACTAGATAACTCAGGATTGGTTTTGTGATATGGAGCTTTTCATCTCGGTCACTAGTAAGATTCTATTGCAGGTAAAATGGTCATTTATGACCAAAATCTGATCTATGCATGAAACTCTGAGAAAAGGAGAGAACCAGCATAGTGGTTATGGTAGAGGGAGACTGAATGTGTGGGAAATTCAGAGGATAGTTCACTTGGGCTCCCTTGCCTGATACCATGCTGAGGGTACTTGAGAAATGCATTCATTAGGTGCATCTACTTGAGCAGTTATGAGTGGCTGTGCTGCCTGACGGGGGTGGGGGGAAGTAGCCACATGTATCTGCTGGCCAAAACCCCAGTGTAGGGTGGGGAAGCGGTGGCAAAGCAGGTACAAAATTCTCCACCGTCCTGAGATTGCAGTAGTGACTCTGAAGCAGCTCTATGGCTTGGGCATGAGAATTCCATCCCACAATATCTACGGATTTCCCTCATCAAGTCCTACTGACCAGAGCTGTTCTTCAGAGAAGAAGGTTTGGCCCTGAGGTATGTTATAATAAAACTGTAGCCTAGTTAGTCAATTCAAAGAAAGCCACAAGTCTGTCATTGTTCAAATGTGTCCTCATTCAAATATCTGACATGAATCTCTGCACATATGAAACGCTTCTGAGTAAATAAGTGTAGTCTTTCTGCTTGCTTCTAATACTGCAATTTACTTAAGTGGAAAAAATAGCTTATGACTAAAATGCACAGCATCATGGTCAATATAGCATAAAATGAGAGTAATAAGAAATGGGCTCAGGAAGGCCTGGTTGCCTACCTTAGGTTTGTCTGAAAAATTACAGCTAAATAAAATGCTGTTCTTACTATGACAAACTTGAGGTCCATTGAAAAAGAATAAAAAGAACAGGAGTACTTGTGGCACCTTAGAGACTAACCAATTTATTTGAGCATGATTGGTTAGTCTCTAAGGTGCCACAAGTACTCCTTTTCTTTTTGCGAATACAGACTAACACGGCTGTTACTCTGAAACCTGAAAAAGAATAGACACTCCAGTGATGCTCACTACATTCAGAATGGATGAAGACAGCATCTGAAAAGAGGAAACTAGTTCATACTTCTATTTTTCAGTTGTGAAGTATTTCTGTTAATGATTTCACCTGGTTTAAAAGGACTCTGTGTTTTTACCCCCAAAAGGTTAATATGCCTACTAATATATGTGTGTATAAAAAAAAAAAACATTTTGCCAGCAGGTTGGCTTTAAAAAAGAACTGCATGAAGCTACTCAGCAGTTCAGAAAATTAGAATGTCATAGTAGAAATGAGTTAGGGGGGTGAGTGCAGGTGAGAAAATGAATGGTGCATTTATCATGTAATATGTATGTGGAATTGCTCCAGTCAGAAGCCTGGATTTAAGAGTACAGGGTAGTTTGGGGACAGAAGGGAACAGATGAAGTGAAATGGAGACAGTGAAGATTAAGGAAGGAAGCAGAGGATTTAAGGAATGAAACAAAATGAAGATATTAGAGCAAGAATTTTTCAATTGGCTTTGCAAAGTACAGTATCATATGGCTGTTACTGCCACGTGTATGTCTTTTTCAAACAACCTGGTGAAGTTTCCTTTACTCTTCAGAAAAATAGTTACACTGATCTGAGATGTAGGTGAGGCAATTTTCAGCCCTGGACCAATGATGGTTTAAGGTGAGAACTAATATTGTAAGAATTATGCCATTGGAAAGCTGGGGATGCCTAAGTTTCCAACAGGTTATGGTTTCTAGCTCTGGAATATCCAGAGATATTGGACTTTAGACCTAATAATGGTACAGTTTTAGAAAGGTTGTTCAGGTAACTGAGGTTTCCAAAATGTTTTTCTTTTCCTCTGAGACAGTAGGACTCATAGGGCCCAATCCAGTTCCTATTCAGGTTAATAGGAATCTTCCCATTCATTTAGACAGGAGTTGGGTAGGACCCAGGGTATATACAGAATACCCAGTGATGGGGGTTTTTAAGGATATCATTGGTTTCACGAGTTTGGCATCATTTTCAGTAACTCAGGACTAGTAAAAGCTATCCCAAATTCATGCTAATAAAAACTTAAGCCCACACCTCCCCATTATGTATTACTTCACATGTAGCTAATGTTTGCAAAGCAAAAGCATTACATTTCCCTCTCCCCTTTTCCAGTCTAATGTTACAATGCTGTGTTATGTGGGTTAATAGCTCAGCACCCAAAATAACCCTGTCATAACAGAGAAGAGTGTGGATATATGATGACAGAAAAGAGGGTTACTGGTAAGAAAATACATTTTAATTTTAAGCTTCTAAGAGTCGGAGAGAGACTCCAATTCAGCAAAGCAGTTAAGCATGTGCTTAACATATTTACTTTAGTGGGATGAGCATGTGCTTAAATGCTTCACTTTATAGGAATGGGATAATTTACATGCTTTACATTAGTCACATGCTTAAGTGTTTTGCTGAAATCAGACCATAACAAATATCTAGCGGAAAATACTTTAAACCATTTTTTCAGAAAACCTTGTCAGTTTCTACAGAGTCTGATAAAAATGCTTATTTCCTCTGAAGATGGAGATTACAGGAGTGATTGTGCGCCACTGAATTCAGTGGGAATTTTGCCGTTGACTTCCATGGGTGCAGGAATAAGCCCGGTGGAAGGAGCCATATGACTAGTTGGCAAAGATTCTGATTGCATGTATTCAGCACAACGGCATAGGTCGCATTCAGCCAATGTATACTCCCTCATATAATTTCTCAGGGGACAAGCAGAGAAGATAGTAAATCAAGCAGCTTTAAAACATATATGTCACTTTAAAAAAATCAATACAGTCCATTACTGCAATCCAGTTCTGTTGTTACTGATGTTCATTATGGAAATTATCATGGCCATTAAATTAACTTGGCATGAACGAAGGATGTTAGATACCTAGCACTCATGGAAATATATAATCTGTTAAAATCACCTAATGAGTCAACTTGTTACATTTTTCTTTATCCTGCACGTTATTTTCTTTTTCATTTGATAAAGACTGTGGTTTCTGTTTTATATTTATTTTCCTTTAACTCTTTCAAACTTTGTATTTAGTAAGGATTATAAAACAGTTGTCAGTTACAATTAATACATCAGGTCACAGTACTAATTTTTTATATACATAACCTGCAATATTCTATGTCATCTCTATTTTAACAATCAAATTTGCCTAAAGCACAGTATTCTGTTGGTTCTTTTCCAGTTTTCTTTAATAAATAATACCCTGGCTTGAACTTTCTATTGATATTTAACATGTAAATATGCTTTAGTGTGGATTTAAATCAATTTATAAATATACAAAGTGGATTGAATATTAGTGGTGAAATCTTGACTCCATGGAAGTCAGTAGGGAGTTTTGCTGTTTTGAATCAGGCATTCATCCCAAAGATCAAATATTCTGATTGTGATTCATCTCTCCTTATATGTAATCATGAGAACTCTCCTTCCCTTCTCTCATCATACTATTAAGCTGGCTTTATGTTAAACAAGGAAAGATACGTTTCCTTGTATTCAAGTCCTGGCTGGGCATCTAAAATGAGTAAGTTGCTGTTGCACAGTACTTTGTGCACCTTTAACAAGTTATGTCTGAGCTCAAAAGTTGTTGGTGCTGCACCTTAAACCACTCAATATCACAACCTCTGCTCTGTACATGCCCCTTACTCTGAAGATGCAGCCTGCTCTGATTTTGGCAGCCAAAGGCATTTCCACTGCAGGGAGCACCAATAAATCAAAGAAACAATAAATAAAAGGGTCACTACTGACTTTATTGTTTTTTAAAGACTAAAATATGATTGCCTTATACATCTGTTCTTGTTAACCTGGAGTTTGAAAGTTACACAGAAACGTTGGTATTTTCTTTCAATTCCTAAAACCAGGGACCTGTGTGCTAAATGGAAAAATCCTATTTTGTACTAAACCCCATGAAGAATACAAAGCATCAAGAATCTTGTTCTGCATTGGCATTCCTTTTTAAATGAGGTGTTACAAAAATTCAGAAGAGCTCTACTTTTACTCATCATCATCTCTTACCAACTGCAGTGCTAAGCTCTGAAGCAGGCTCTGAAATACTCATTTGTGTCTCCCAAAGTACGTACAGACTTTGAAGTCTAATACTGAGATATGCCTTTACTGCAAAGGCATAACCATCCCATTGCAGATGGCTTTATCTTTCCAAAATGATTCAATCAATTCAATGATTCAATCTCGTGATTTTTTTTCT